CCTCACTTACAACGATCTGCCTGTGCTGCTCACAAAACAAAACTTTTCACAGTACTTAAGTACATGTAGAATCATAGAATCCCTACTGTGTCGCAGCAGGCCATTCGACCAAATGAGTCCACACTGACCCTCTGAAGAGCATCCCACACAGATCCACCCAATCTCTGAAACCCTATATTTCCCATGGCTAATCCACCTAGCTTGCATATCCCTGGATACTGTGGGTAATTTAGCATGGCCAATCCACCTAACCTGCACATCTTTGGACTGTAGGAGGAAACCCATGCACACACAAGGAGAACATGCAAATTTCACACAGGTCCCTGGCACTGTGAGGCGGCAGTGCTAACCACTGAGCTACCGTGCTGCACTTGTGACTACAATAAATCAAATCAAGATGTCATGTTATAGCTTAAATCCTCCAGTTTCAGTAATATCCTTGCAAATGTGTTTTGCACCCTTTCCAGTTTAATAGCCGGGTGACCAAAATTGAACACAGTACTCCAAATGTGGCCTTATTAATGTCTTGTACAACTATAATATGATATCCCAACTCCTGTACTAAATACTCTGACCAATGAAGGCAAACATGCCTAGTATCTTCTTCACTACACTGTCTATCTGTGACACCACTTTCAAGGAACTGTGTACTTGAACCCCTTGGTCTCAGTGCTCGATAACTGTGTAAGTCTTACCCTGGTTTGTTTTATCAAAATGCAACACTTTGCATTTATCTGCATTAAACTTCATCTGCCACCCCTCGGCCAACTAGCCTAGTTGATCAAGATCCCATCATACTCTTAGATAACCCACTATATCACCAATTTGGTGTCATCTACAAACTTACAAACCATGCCTCCTATATTGTCATCCAAATTATTTACATAAATGACAAACAATAGTGAACCCTGCACTGACCCTTGCAGCACACTGCTAGTCACAGGGCTTCAGTCTGAACAACAACTCTCTACCACTGCCATCTGTCTCCTGCTGTTAAGCTAATTTTGCATCCAATTAGCTAGGTCTCCTTGGATCCCATGTGACCTAACCTCATTAACCAGTCTACTGACCAATCAAATATGAAATGTTATCCCCAGTATCCTGGCCAATAGTTATCCTTCAATCAACATCAACATTCATTATCTCATCGCGCATCCTGAGGACTTGCTGCAAATGAATTGGCTGCAGTGTTTTCAAGCATTATAACACTAGCTTCACTTACAGAGTATTTCATTGACTGTAAGGCAATTTAGCAAGTCTGAGGTCATGAAAGGCAGGTTTTTCTTCCACTTATTTATCATGACAACAAATAGTAGTCAGCAAGAGCCTATTATTACAATATGTACTAAAGTATGCAACATGTTTGAGAGAGTCATGATGAAGTACTTAAGCCATTTGAAGCCACACAGGCAGTTTATGTGATTTAAGTCTTATCTCAAAAAATTGTCTTGGTTCCCCACTGCCAAAATTACTTTATTTTGTTGTCACAGCCACAGGTGCTATCTTCAAACAGAGCCCACTATTTGTTCCAATAAAAATCAAGATACGACAGATGCTTGAAATCTAAACAAAAATATAACTAGCAACAAAAAGTTTATTAAAGAATTTCTGAAAACTTTGCATTCAAAGATTGTTATGATGATAAAAGAGATGGATCTTTAGGTTGATCAAAAATAACTTAAGTAATAAGTAGAGGCTTCATAACAAAAATTTCAACGTCCAAGCATGAGCGGTACTCGTTGATGTTAGGGTGGAGGGGGATAAAGGTGAGCTCTTTACTGAGGACTGACCATTTGTCCTAAGTAAGGGGGAATCTGGGGGGATGGTGAAGACCCGGCAGGGCTGGGTGCTATTGGGTGCGATTTCTGAAGAAGGGTCTAGGCCCGAAATGTCAGCTTTCCTGCTCCTCTGATGCTGCTTGGCCTGCTGTATTCATCCAGCTCTACACCTTGTTATCTTAAGTAATAAGTACTCAAGTTTCATTTAAAAATAATGAGGGGAATGGAGGTGGGGAAGGGGAGGGAGAGAGGGAAATAGGGGAGGTGCATGAGTTGATGGGGAAGAAGAGATGTAGATGTGGAAGATGAGATAAGGGGATGGGAGATCAGATGAGGTAGAAAATAAGAGTAGGCCATTAAGCCCTTCAAACACACTTCACCTCTCAATATGATCACGGCTGATCATCCAACTCAGTACCCTGTTGCCACTTTCTCCCCTTATCCTTTGAACAAACTCCTTCTGAAATTCAAAACATTCAACTTTCTGTGGCAGAACATTCTACAGGCTCACCACTCTCTGGATAAAGAAATTTCTCCTCATCTCAGTGCTAAATGGACCACACTGTGTCTTTAGCCTATGACTTCTGATTCTGGACTCTCCAGTCACTGAGAACATCTTTCTAGCGTTCACGTTGTCAATGCCTGTTTGAATTTTATAGGTTTCTATGAGATACCCCTTTCATTCTAAACACTAGTGACTATGGTCCTAACCAAAGACAAATGTAGAAATTGCTGGCAAAGCTCAGCAGATCTGGCAGCAATTGTGAAGAAAAATCAGAGTTAATGTTTTGGATTGAGTGACGCTTCCTCAGAACTGATGGTATCTAGGAAAATGTTGGTTTATATGCAGAAGTTAGGTTGGTGGAGGAGGTAAATGATAGGTAGAAATAGACCCCAAAGAGAAAGAAGAACAGTTAGACAGACACAGGATCTTGCTAGGAGGGTGAATAGCTGTAATTAGGGACTGTTAGTGGCTAATAATGTGTGGTGTGTAATAGCAGACTATGTGATAACAAGAGATAACAAGGTGTACAGCTGGATGAACACAGCAGGCCAAGCAGCATCATAGGAGTAGGAAGGCTGAAGTTTCGGGCCTAGACCCTTAGGCCCGAAACGTCAGCCTTCCTGCTCCTATGATGCTGCTTGGCCTGCTGTGTTCATCCAGCTCTACACCTTGTTATCTCAGATTTTCCAGCATCTGCACTTCCTACTATCTATGTGATAACAAGGCCTGGTTTTGGAGGGCGGGGTGGGGGGAAGGACATAGAAGAGCTCAAGCCCTAAAGTTGTTGAACTTGATATTGAATACGAAGGGCTGCAGGGTCCCCAGGCAGAAAATGAGGTGCTGTCCTTCCAGCTTGCACTGATCTTCATTGGAACACTGCAGCAAGCCTGAGACAGAGATTTTGGCTAGGGAACAGGGTGGTGTGTGGTAGTGGCAGGCAACTAGAAGTTCAGGGTCTTTTTTGTGAACAGAACGCAAGTGTTCTATGAAGTAGTCACTGAGTCTATGCTATGTTTCCCCACTATAGAGAAGACCACATTGTGAGCAGCGAATGTGGTGGACTAGATTGTGTGAAGTGCAGGTAAAGTGCTGTTTCACTTAGAAGATGTATTTGGGCCCTTGAATACTGAGAAGGGAGGAAGTAAACGGACAGGTGTTACACTTTCTGCAGTTGCAGCGGAAGGTGCTGTGAGGCTGTGGGCTGGTGTTGGGACTGAAAGAAGACGGGACCAGGGTGTCCCAGAGGGAATGGTCCCTGCGCAAGGCTGACAATGGATGGGAGGGGAATATGTGTCCAGTGGTAACATCTCACTAGAGGTGGTGGAAATCGCAGTTAATGATCCTCGAGATATGGATGCTGGTGGGATTGTAGGTAAGTCCTAACCAATCTAGTCTCTCTTCATACATCTCCTGCCATCTCAGGAATCAGTCTGCTAAACCACTGTTGCACTCCCTCCATTGCCAAAACATCTTTCCTCAGGTAAGGAGACCAAAACTACATACAATTTTACAGGTGTGGTCTCATCATGGACTTGCACAATTGAAGCGAGAGATCCGTGCTCTTTTCCTCAAATCCTCTTGCTATGAAGGTGAGCATTCAATTGTTTTCTTCACTGCCTGCTGCATCTGCCGACTTACTTTTAGCGATTGGTGTAAAAGGACACTCAGGTCTCATTGCACCTCTCCTTTTCCCAATCGATTGCAAGCTGCCTACATGTTTTTGCTACCAAAGTGGAAAATCCTACATTTTTCCTCATTATATTTCATCTATCATATATTTTCCCACTCACTCAATTTATTGAAATGCCCACTCACTCAATTTATTGAAATCACATTGAATCATCTCTGCGAACTCCTACCAGCTTTGTGTCTTTTTTAAGCTTAGTACATTTATTTCCATCATTTAAATCATTAATATACATCGAGAATTGCTGGAGTCCAAGCATTGATTCCCGCGGATGGGTTCCAGAGGAGGTTCACAAACATGATCCTGGGAATGAAGGGCTTGTCATAGGAGGAGGGATTGAGGACTTTAGGTCTGTACTTAGAGTTTGGAAAGATGGAAAGAGGAGGGATGATTCTCATTGAAACTTACAGAATACTAAGAGGCCTGGATAGAGTATAGAAGGCATTTCCACTAGTAGGACAGACTAGAACCCAAGAGTACAGTCTCAGAATGAAGGAACAATCCTTTAGAACTGAGATGAGGAGGAAATTCTTCAGCCAGGCACTGGTAAATCCATGGAACACATTGCCACAGAAGGCTGTGGAAACCAAGTCATTGAGCATTTTTAAGACAGACATTGATATGTTGATGATTAGTAAAGGGATCAAGTGTTATAGGGAGAAGGCAGCAGAATGGGGTTGAGAAACATATCAATCATGCTTGAATGGCAGAGCAGACTCGATGGGCTAAATGGCCTTATTCTGTTCCTATATTTTATTGTTTTATGGTCTATTTATGTCATTACACTACCCTCTATCCCTTGTCCTTTAATTTTGCATGCTGATCTATTATTATGTGGGATCCTACTGAACACCTTCTCAAAGTCCAAGTAAACCGCATCCACTGGTTCTCCCATATCAATCCTATTAACTGCATTCTCGAAAAATTTCAGTCCTCGTGCATGATTTCCTCTGTGTTTAAGGGGAAGGGAGGATTAGGAGAGAGGTTAAATGAATAAATGATGGGTTCTATAGTAATGGGGCGGTTGTATTGGGAAGAGCGAGCATGATGGGGAGAGGCACTGGAACTGAGATGGAGACGGAAGGAGGGAGGGCAATGCGGGAGAAACGGCGGTTGAGGGATTTGGGCTAACGGGGCGGGGCTGGACTACCTTCCCGGGCTGGGCGGTGACGTTGTCGAGCACGGACTTTCTTCGACTTGGGCAGACGATTAGAGATAGAGTCTGGGACCGAGAAATAAATGGTGGGAAGCGGTTGGTTTTCTGTTACGTTCTGAGAATCGGGGCCTGATGTCGGTGCCTTTTTTTTAAAACCGCCCACCTCTCTCAATGCGACGAGGCCCGGAGCCACGTTCAGCCGCCTGTTGGGACTCGGAGTCTCGAGTTATTCGATGCCCGGATGATGGTGTGCGTGAGCGGCGAGCGGAGCGCTGCTAGACGCTGAGGCTGCAGCCGGGGTCACCAAGCTCTCCCGGCGTCTCCAGGCTTCTTCTCCCACCCTCTGCGTATCCAGGCTTCTTCACCCCGCAACCCGGGTCTCCTTCTCCCAAGGCTTGGTTATGGCCCTAGCCTACTTCTACAATTGTGCTCGGAAAATCTTGACCTCCCCCTATCCATCTCCGGATACCGGGCTGTCCACACTCATCATCATTCTTCTCTTCACCTTCCCCGGTGAGTACAGAGCTTCTTTATAATCTGAATAAATTTCATCTCGAGCATTGTTCTCTCTTGTTCCATTTCAGTCTCAAAGTAGAGGTCATAGATGCTGTTGGCTATTGTTAGTAGGTGCTAAAGCTGTCTCCGCGTTTTGCTTTTACTGTTTTGCATTCATAGTAAACTGTAAAACCTCGATTGATTAAAAACATGTAAGCATCAGCTTTCTTGCACAGTGGGAGACTTGGAAGTTTTCAAAGGTGTTAGACCAGAACCTCCTGGTGTTTTTTAAGCAAAAAGTGAAATCTAATAAGATAACATGTGGAAATCACAGATAGTAGATGGCCTTTTTTATCCTTTAGTCTCTTTTTGTATTTCCTCATATCCCTATGTCTAGATTTCCACTGTTTTGTTTGAGCTAATAATTTTTAATTTGCTTCAAGATCCATCTGCCAGTCCTGCTGTATAAGCAGATGCTAGGCAATATTTTAGTTATTCGTGTTGACCTGAGTGGGTTTTATTTCCCTCTATTGGGACACTATCTCCATTTGATGTTTCCCTTGAGGGTCAATTTGGGATCATGAACCTCTTGTGGGTTTAGGTTGTACATCTGTTGTGTTACCATGTGGTGCAGTGTTTATGGGTACATTGCCCCCTTACCTCATCTCTGTTGAATGACTTTGAAATTATATTTTCTGTTTGTTCATTTCTTCTATTTTTTTTGTCTGCTCATTGTATGTCCTCCTGGAGTGTAGAATATTATGTGTAGTTGAGATCAAACTACTCCAATTGGGATGTTGTGCCATTTATAATAACTTTGGGATATATTAAAAGATCTGCCTGACCCATGAACTGTGCATTCTTTAGAAGCACGAAGACTCTAAAATTTTTAAACTGTTCAAACCATTTAATTTTCTTGATTTGAAGTAGGTAGCTTGAAGTTAATCGTTGCTGTATGGAACACAGAACAAAGTGAAAAATGTTCTACAGCTTGTAGTACAGTTTCTTGGCAGATTTTGCATGCTAGCCCAATTGAAGTTTATGAATACAGGGATGCTTTAATGTGATAAGATGTACGACTCTATGGTAAAATAATTACGCATTATCCTTTGTGTGGAAAAAGTTGCCCCTTAGGTCCCTTCTAAACCTTTCCCCTCTCCCCTTAAACCTATGCCCTCTAGTTTTGGACTCCCCTACCCTGGGGAAAAGATCTTGGCTATTCATCCTTGCTATGCCCCACATAATTTTATAAATTCCTATAAGGTCACCGCTTAGCCTCTGCAGGGAAAATAGCCCCAGCCTGTTCACCCTCTCCCTATAGCTCAAATCCTCCCAACCCTGTCAACATTCTTGTAATTCTTTTCTGAACCCTTTCAAGTTTCACAATATCCTTCCCATAGCAGGGAGACCAGAACGGAATGCGGTATTTCAAAAGTAGCCTAACCAATGACCTGTGCAGCTGCAACATGGCCTCCCAACTCATGTACTCAATGCACTGAGCAGTAAAAGCAAGCATAGCAAACACCGCCTTAACTATCCTGTCAACTCGCAACTCCACTTTCAAGCAATAATGAACCTGCATTCCAAAGTCCCTTTGTTCAGCAACACTCACCAGGACCTTACTATTAAGTGTATAAGTCCAGCCCTGATCTTTGCCTTTCCAAAATGCAGCAGCTCATGTTTATTGAAATTAAACTCCATCTGGCAGCTCATCCTATAGAGGAAGTGGTGGAGACTGGTACAGTTACAACATTTAAAAGGCATCTGTATGGGTATATGAATAGGAAGGATTTAAAATGAAATTGGCCAAATGATGGCAAATGAGACTTGATTAATTGAGGATATCTGGTCAGCCTGGACAAGTTAGATCAAATGGTCTGCTTCCATGCTGTACAGCAACACTTATTATAATGCCATGTAACCACCTCCAACTTGGCCCCATTGTGTAGCGCAAAGTATTATCTCCAAGTTTGAATGAGCAAAGTCTATAATTGTATGGCTAGGTATGCACCATAATTCACCTGGAAACAAGGGAGCTTTATAATTTTTATCAGCCCGTTTGGCTATGTTATAGCTCCATATCAAATGGGACTTGAGTATTTATCCTCTGGCCCAGAGATAGACACTGTCGCTCCACCACAAGAGCTCCTTATGCTCACAGTTTTTTACTTAGATCATCAAACACTGGTATGTCATGACATCTGATGTGATCATTATTGAATTACACCTTGAAATACTTGGACCTAATAGATCTGAATTCCCTCCCTGAACTTTCTCAAACTTCTGATCAAGGTTTTGATCTCTGTGTGTCTCTCTCTTTCTCTTCTCTTCTTTTCTTCTGTTTTTTTTTCTCTTAAACTTTGGACCCGTTTTCAAGAAAATCATAAGCTATGGTCTTTTTTTTTTAAAAAAAGAGCTGAATAGTCACATGGGAGATTTGAAATCTTCATGGTCAAGAAAAATGTTATTTTAACAATCAAATTGTACCAGTAGCTAATTGTCAGTACTAATATCTTTCCTTATAGTCACAGTGCTCAATCCTCATATTATTCAGGCAGTAGTGCATTCCATCTGATACCCACTAAACAATGGGAGCAGATATTCACTATGATAAATATTTTCACAGGTGAAATTAGTCACTTAGAGTTCTTGAATTTTGTTCACCCTAATCTTGTTTTTGTAACTATTCTAAATGTTGATCCATTCCACACTGTCTTCATTTTAATCTTGCTGAGTGAGCTCTTAACTATGACATAATGGAATCCCAATGCAGTGACTGCAGCTGCAGTTCAGCAAGCAGTATCTGTGATGGAGGAAGCTAGATTGTATCCATGTCCCGCTGCTTGTCTTCCTTTAGGAGTAGAAGATTCCAGGTTTAAGGAAGTGACTATAAGTCAAAAGGTTGTACACTATTGCTAAAAAACAGTTGACGTAGAGTGCATCATAATTGTGATTTAAGCTGACTCATCTGTCAGGAGTTGTAATGAGTCACAGCTGACTTCCACACTAGTTCGATCCACCTCACAAGAAGTCTGACCACATTTAGATTCATTTCAGCATTTATGATGTTGAATTTGGAGGAAGTGTTAAAGTATGTTGCTTTTTAATCAAGGGGAAAAAGTTATATCACTATACTTGGAGGAGGGGGGAAATGGACTTGTTGATGTTTGTGTTGTATGATGATACATACATCTTCTCGTGAAACCAGGAATTATGTTATGAATTAGTTGCAAAGTTGATGATAAAAGAGGAAATGTGTTCTATGCAAAGATTTCAATTGATATGTTCCGTCCAGGTATTTTTAAAACGTTCTTTAAAGGAATATGGGCATCATGAGCAAAGACAAGATTAATTTTCCCATACCTAATTGTCCTTGAAGTGCTGGTTGATTGCCTCCTTGAAGAATTGCACTTGTGACTATATGTCATTACGTCGTCCATGTCAAGCTTGTGTTTTACTTAGATTTGCTCTCAAGGATGGTGGCGTTCACATGCACATAAGATCGTAAATAGACTATTCAACCTGTTGAATCTACTCTGCTATTCATGAGATCTTGGTTGATCTGATAATCCTCAACGCCACCTTCCGGCCTTTTCCCCATAACCTCTGATTCCCTTACTGATTGAAAATCTAACTTGGCCACGAATATACTTAATGACCGAGCATCAACAACCCTCCGTAGTAAAGAATTCTACAAATTCCCCAACATCGGAGTGTATTCCCTTCCTCTTCATCTCTCTTCGATGGGTATCCACTTCTCTGAGATTATGGCCTCTGGTCATCAACTCTCCTGCAGATGAGGAAAAAGAACATCTCAGCATCTATCCTGTCACTGAAGTTTAGAAGAATGAGAGGAGACCTTACTGAAACATACAAGAATCTTAGGAATCTTGACAAGATGCATACAGATAGGTTGTTTTGGTTTGTGGGAGTGTCTAGGATCAGAAGGATTCCTTCACCTAGGTGGTAAAAGTTGAGAGATTAGAAGATCCTGATAAAGAAACCTTGACTGGTTACTGGGAGTGTATCTTGTAGATGGTACATGCTGCTGCCACTGTACTCAGAGTGAGCATTTAAGGTAGTACTTGGAGTTCTAGACCAGTAGTTTGATTCCATTCAAGATTCCTTGTTTTACTGGAGCTGGATTCATCCAGGAAAGTGGGGATTATTCCATCACAGTACTGACATGTATGCTATAGATTGACTTCCTAAAACTTGTCCATGTGGAGTTACCTTCCGGAGGTTACCCAGTCCCTGATCTGCACTTGTAGCCACAGTTATAATGGGGGCACAGTTATAATGGGGGCTCAGTTCAGATTCTGGGCAATCGTCATCCCCAGGATGTTGATAATGGGTGTTTAATATTATTGAATTTCAAGGGATGACAATTAGATTATTTCACTTTTGAAATGGTCATTGCCTGGCAATTCTGGCATAAATGTTAACTGCCACTTTTTAACCCAAGTCTGCAAATTGTATAGATGTTGATGGACTGCTGTTGTGTTGGAGGATAACACAGGAGACCAGGCAGCACCAGAGGAGCAGGAACGTTGATGTTTTGGGTCGGGACCCTTCTTCGGAAATGGGTGTGGGCGGAAGACAGCTTAGAATTAAATAGAGAGAGGAGGGGTGGGGATGGTGATAGGTGGGATGGTGGGGATTGGTCAGTGGGATGGAGGGGTGGATAGATGGGAGAGAAGATGGACAGTTGTGTGAGGTCAAGGAGGCAGGGATGAAAAGGAGGGTTGGACATAGAATGAAGCTGGGGCTGGGGAGATTTTAAAACTGATTAATTCCATGTTTAGGCCATCGGGCTGTAGGCTCCTGAGGCAGACTGAGGTGCTGCTCCCCCAGTTTGCAGGTGGTGTCATTGTGACACTGGAGGAGGCCCAGCATGGACATGTCACCCAGGGAGTGGGAGTTAAAATGTTTGGTGTTGTTTGTCGCGTACAGAGCACAGATGCTCTACAAAACGGTTTCTGAGTCTACGCTTGGTCTCACCGATGTAGAAGAGGCCA